ACCTAGTCACTGGAGAGAAATGAAACTGAGCGGAGGCATTAGATGGTGTCAATTTAATATAATGTTTGTTAAAATGAATAGCTCATCTGGATAATATTGGTACAGTATGATTCGCAAAACAATTCAGGCTGACCCATAGATGAAAAGATAGACTGGCTGAGGAGACTTGTAGATCTTTTGCTACAGTTTAGACCAAAAGTATGTATGAGACAACACGATTTCTGGCTAAGGAAGGATATTGCATTTATATTAAAACCATTGAGTGGGGGTTGGATGCTGTCGTACATTTGAGCTTCCTGACCCAGACTGTTATAAAGTTATGGCTCATTGTGTACAGTACAATGGAACCCAATTGGAAATAAATCAATCTAAATAGAAACCCAATCCTTTTCTAGCCTCCTGCTCCTCTTTTGCGCTCAAAGAAAACCGACTCCAGTTCAAACACTCCCGCAGCTAATAAAGCGTCTGTATTGAGCACCAGAGAGGGTCATGGGTAATAATGGCCGCCTCCTTTCTCCCCTCTCCTTTCTAAATTCAATTCTCTTTTCAGCGCCACGACCTTTCACCCCCTCGTTTTCCCAGTATTTCCACTCCTCGATCTCCCCTCTTTCATCTCAATTTAGTGCCTCTTGATTTTCCAAGCGGGTTTTGTCTGGTCTCAGTGGCTCTCATCTTTGTCCAGTATTCTCAGGTTAATACACGTAGCTGCGTCTTTACTTCCTCGTATGTTCAGTCAAATGAAAATAAATATTAAAAGGAAATTCTTACTTTCATTCTCGTATTTCAAAGCGAACGCAATGGCTTCTGGATTACTAGATGTTTGCTCTTTTGACCAATTTCTGTTTGATCTTTCAGACGCTGGTTTTGAATTTCACTTATGCATTGTTGATTTAAGAAGAGGATTCTGTAATTAATTAGAAAATAGCATACAAGCCTGAAGTGGATCTGCATGTCTCCATGGTGATGTTACTGCTTTGCCTGGAATGTTTCAAGCAGACAAATAAATTGAATTAAACTAACTAATTAATTTAACTTAAAAATAAAATAAAAATGTGAAATGTAAAATGTACTGTTTTGTCCAAACTATAAGTCGCTCTGGAGTATAAGAAAAAAATGCAAAATGAAGAAGAAAAAACATGTATAAGTCGCACTTTTTGGGTGAAATTTATTTTATAAAATCAGAGACCAGGAACTGATATTTCATCTTGAAAGGCAAGTTATAGTAAAAACAACAGAACAGAGAACAACAGACTGTTAACGTCACTTATGAACAGTTCTTCAGATAAACTATAACATAAACAACAGAACAGAACAAGTTTACCAAACTCTCCATCTCACTCCAGCTCACTAAATCCATTGAATGCTTCATCCTCTGTGTCACTTCTGAGCAACTCCGTGTCCTCCGGAGGTAAATGGAGCACCTCTTCCTCTTCTGTGTAGCTGTCGTCAGACTCAGCATCAGTTCCAGTTAGAATTATTCCAGCCTTTCTGAATCCCGACAGGATGGTTTCAGTGTCACTGAAGTCCAGGCTTTGTTGATCCATCCTGTGACTTCTAGGAAAGTTGCATGGTGCACCCTACTGGTGTCACAAGTTTTCCCTTACTCCAAACTTTCTATTTGTTGCTCGATTACCATTTTCGGCTGCATATTTTGCTAGTTACAGCTTGTAAAAAAGGATTTTCTTTTTGGGGGGCATTTTATGGAGTGTCAAAAATATTCATGCGCATAAAATAGAAATCCGTGCGTATTTGGGAAATCCGTGCATATTTGGCTGTAGTTGCGCATAAAATAAATATTTGTAAACTCTCAAATGAGTCCAGTCGTACATAAAATATATTGTGTGTATTTTATCCATCAGAATACGAATTGAAAAATTACGACGTCATGAATTACAATCACGAAATGAAAATTTACGATTACGCTTTCATCAGTACGAATACGAATTCACAGACGGAACTTTACTGTCAAAAATACGTCATCACTTCACAGACATTATCCATCGAGCAGAAGAAACATCGATCAAGATCAAGACTGCGCATGCTCAAGTTTGTAGCAGAGTAAAAACAGAGTAATAGCACAAGAAGCTACAACAGCGACCAACAAGTGGGTTAATTAAAATCTATTGTAAAAATGTCTTGAATTCGGGAACCGAACGCTGCTGTATAATATTGTGTAGAAACACCTCCTTTGAACGGGAAATTGCACCTATATGTTAGATAACATAGTGGAGCCAGTTGGCCAACATCCGACGTAACGTTATCCCAGGGCTAATTAGCAAATATCAGGTTCTCTGTATGTTTAGATTAAAACATTCACGGCTACAGCCACAGCGAGCATCAGTTAGTCTTCACTTCAGCTGCATTTCAGACAATGGGTTTTTCATGAGTTATAATGGGTTATAATTAGCAAATCCATCCACGTCACGGTGACATTAAACTTACCGGTAAATACTGTAAACATACCAAGGTGTTGCCTGTAAACACGAACATTAATTGATGCTGGAAGCTGCATTAAACTGTAATGTGTAACATTTCATTAGCTGTGACGTCTGTAACCAGGACAGTTTGGTGTTTGGTGTAAACTGGGACATTTCAGCGTCCCGAGGAACTTTTGGTGGCATTTCATGCGAGAAATGCAGCTGAAGTGAAGACTGACTGATGCTCGCTGTGGCTGTAGCTGTGAATGTTTTGCATTGAATTGTAATTCATGACGTCGTAATTTTTCAATTCGTATTCTGATGGATAAAATACACACAATATATTTTATGTACGACTGGACTCATTTGAGAGTTTACAAATATTTATTTTATGCCAAATATGCACGGATTTCCCAAATACGCACAGATTTCTATTTTATGCGCACAAATATTTTTGACAGCTTTCTTACTCCATAGCATTTGTCTTCAGTCTTCTCAGTTGTCTTTATAAGTTTGTTTAAATGTAAAATTTTCAGTGGTACAGAAGTAATAGTGCGATCGACTGACATGATACAGACAGGACAGAGGCTCTTTCTGCAGGAGACATGCCAAGTAAAGCCAAGTGACAGTGGTACAGGAGTAATAGGAGCAGATACTGACACACAAGCGTAGAGCGCCCTCTCGCAGCTGTCAGTGCCAAAATTTTAATATATAAGTCGCTCCGGAGTATAGTTCAGAGGACCACCCAAACCATGAAAAAAGTGTGACTTATAGTCTGAAAAATATGGTAAATGAAATTAAAGAAAAAGATTAACACTGTGGAGAGGTGACACATGTGTCCACCACATGCAACATGGATACATCTAATGCCAAACAGTGAAACATTCCAGGCAAAGCATTGGAAACAAGCCGCATCAGAAAAGTTCTTAATGCTTATCAGCAAAGACATTGTTAACAGTAAAACAGCAAAACAACAAAACAGCACACTAATTGAATAAGTTGCATTAAACTGACTGACTCACCATTACAAGAAAAAGTATTTTGTGGTAATAGCACAATTATTATGGTACAAATGCAGTACAGATACAGTACATACTAGAAGAAAAGAAAACAGTTCTTTATCATGTGCCTGCTAAAAGCTATTTCACTAAAAATAGTTCCCTTGAAAGCTGAGAGTGGAAGGAAACGGAGGAGAGTGTAGAGGCTCTTATTTGACCCAATCGAAGACAACACAGCAAACAACATGCTCACTCTGTAAAAAAAATAACTCCAGAAAATAACTCAATTATGTTGCAGCTCACTCCAAATGGTTCCCGGATTTGTAGTCAAATGGAAATCATAAAGTAGTCAAATACTTCAGAAATTCAATTTGGACAAAATCTTGAAGTACCCACCAAATTTAAATTAAAGTGTCCATAGTATACGCTATTTTCTGATCTATGTTGTAATGTTTCCTCATAAAAAAATAAAAAGTACAGGAGTTGTGTTTTGTTTCAGTCACACATTTATTCACTAAGACAGAAATCCGATATATTCTTCTCTCAAACAGAAAACACTCTATTCCACCTTGTGATGTATAGCGAAAAAACAGTGCTCCAATGTGTTTTTAAACTCCATACACCTTCACTAGAATCATTTGGGTTAATCTCAGTCTTGGAATTGCCAATCTCTTCTAAACAAAAGGAAGAAGGTATCAGGCAAAACAGCATTTTGAGTTTTAGAGATATAGGCAAACTAATAATAAAGGATTACTTGTTTCCTTGAGGAGGGTAACAAGAGTACATTTTGAATAGTTTTGTCAAGTTTAGAGCAGAAGTAGGACCCAAAACCCAAGACTACATTTCTGAAGTTATTTAATAAAACAAAGAATGACCAAACACAAAAATCCAGACAGACGTGAAACTGATAATGAGAAATGATCCAACAAAGGGCAAAGGAGAACACAGGATATATATGCACACAAATGCAGGACCCTGTGTTCAATCATCTTCCGACTCCCACTTGGACCTCGGATTTGACGTCACATCCGAGCTTGAAGCGTATTATTATGTATTCCTGTGTCGGACTCGGAGAGCAGCCTGTAGCCTTACCACAACACCGACTCCCATAGACATACAGACGCGGTAATGTACTGCAGTAATACAAGTGACTGAAAGTGTCCAAACACAGTGAAAACGGTTCATATTTACACCTCACAGTGAGCGGAGTCATCTTGGATTCTGACTCTGAATCCTTGCTCGGTCTACTTTTTCTGCCACCGAGTTCCGAGTTGCGCCGTCCCAGGAAAAGGGGCGTGTCACTAGGCAACTTCTTCGGAAAATCGACTCGGAAGGATAATCGAATGCAGAGTGAGATACAGGTGAGGCACATTAGGGCGGCAAACAATCCGTGTAACAGGAAGTAAAACTCAACACACACACGGTTAGAGAAATAAAAAATAAAACTGGGTCAAGAATAATAAAATAAATCAGTGAAAATAAATACCCCTGACAAGTGACATTCAGTCTGAAACATCTTTTTGTTGTCCATGGTATTTTGCTGTTACGTTATTATAGAAAAAAATTATTTTGTTTTGTCTTGTAGATGCTCAAACGGATACTTTGGCCAGCCTGCAGTGCCGGGGGGTTCCTGTCAGCCCTGCGAGTGCAATGGAAACCTGGACCTGTCCTTACCTGAGAGCTGCCATCCAATCACGGGCCAGTGTCTGCGCTGTCGTCCGGGTTACGGGGGCGTGGCCTGTGACGTCTGCGCGGACGGATACTACGGGGATGCGGTAAACGCCAGAAACTGCCAGCGTAAGTCAGCACCATGCTTCTGGGAAAGTTTGTGGTAGCTGTGTGCTTAAATGTTTTACACGTTTCATTTAGTCAGACAGTTGTAATTAAGTATGCGCTATATGTAATTAAATATGTGTGTACAAAACAGGGTGTGAGAACTGCATCTGCTGGAGGACATCAGCAGTTTGCGTTAAGATAAAAATGTCAAATTTGCTTAGCTTAATGTGAGTGAGTGCTGAAATATGCAGAACACGTCAGGTGAAGGAGAATAAACTTTACAAATATTGAGTAACTTCTTCACAGTTACAGTTGTATACCAACAGAGAGCAGGTATTTTAGTTCTGATATGGGAGACAAGTAAAACAAAACATGATACTACATTATATTATAGAGTTGTGAAAAAATATACCAAAAAACTGATTCTTAAATTAGTATCAAAACCTAAGTACTCATTTGGACAGTCCCACCCATCACTGCGTACTTTACTTCTTTGTGAAGTGGGCCTGTCTCCACAGTCACAGACAAACCCACTGGTTATTGTTCATTTACAAATGTTTAATTGGTAAAACTCCGTCCTACCTCAGCTCACTACTGCACATCCACAGCTCCATCCGAACACTGCGCTCCAACAGAGACATGACCCTGGTCGTTCCTAAAGCCCACACAGCTCTGGGCCTCTCCTCATTTCAGTCTCTGCAGCAAGTGACTGGAACCATCTTTAACAGGCTTTAAAACTTAGTTAGTTTTAACCTCTGTCGACTTTTTAAAGCTCCATCCACAGTATTTTACAGGATCATTGTGCATGCTTTGGACACGTTTATTTCTTTAATCTGCAAATGTTTCACTGTCTCATGTCTCTATTCACTGTTTCATGTTATGGTTCATGTGTGAGTGTTTTCTGTTTGTGCTGTTTTAGGCTGCCTCTTGTCCAGGTCGTCATTGCAAACAATTGGCTTACCTGGTAAAATATTGAATAAATAAATAAATACATTTGGACAGTACTGAAGGAAATACATAAACAGGTCAATATTTGAATTAGAATGTATTAGAATTGTCTGGATCCATATCAGTACTAGTACAGGATTACATGATCACATTATGTTGTATACAAAAATACTTTTTACTATCATTGTGGTGTTGAAATTAGTATCAAGCCTTTTCCCTTGTGTCGAAATTTTGTTGGAATAGGAACTTTGTTTTCTGCCAAACGCGTGCGCTCCATCTATTTTGATTGGTCCAAACTTTTCCAAAGAGTTGAGAGTAGCGAGTCAAGATGGTCGAGTGCTCTTCGTGTCTTTGTTCGTAACAATTGAAAAAGCTGATGAAGTGCAGTTATTTCTCAAATAAATGGCAAATTACGCATCTCATCTCTTGCTGTTTTTATTTGAAAGGTTTATTTCCCTCAAAATGTACAAATCCAAATGTAATAAACAGTGATGTGGCTCTGTGACCTGGACCTGACACGAGCTGTTTCCACGACTGGCACTAGTAAAGTCATGGGGCGATTGCACTTTTTTTTGCTTTTGTGGGCAATAAGGATATTTTTTTAGTTTACTTACATTCTTGATATTTTACACTTTTGTAGCTAAGGCCCTAAATTAAACATATTTTATGTCCAAAAGTTGTTTATACATGTTTGCTGTGTGTTTTGTATGAAAGAGTGTGAATTTAATTTTTCGCTTTGTATTTGTGGTCCTATAGCTTTTATTACAGCCATATGGCACAACTACAGCAAGCAGATTGTGAAATAACAGGTTGTACTGAAAAAAACAGATGTATAACACTTCATTGGGGGGTAAAAGGGGGAGTTTTAATAGCAAAATTAAGAAAAAAAAAAATCCAGGCGAGGAAAAATGTACTAAAATTGCCCTTAGGTCTAACCCTAACCAATGGAAAGTGATACAGTTATTTTTTAAACTCTAAAGTGGATATATTCTCCTGAATGATAAAACTGGTTCTCCCTTTATCCCATTATATTTTGACATTAATATTTTAGTATTAGATTTGGTAGCTATAACCCCTGCAAAAATGAATTGGGATTATTCTGTCATTTTGATTGAATACAGCTTTATCGGGGCAATATGCGGGCATGACATCAGCATCTCCTTTTATGGGCAAATTAAGTTAATCCATTCGAATCACGCAGACGATTATGTCAATTTAGTCGCATCAAAAACGCTACAGACTACAGCTACGCCACTAATAACATTACATGATGCAATTCCAAGTAGTAGGCCCGTGCAAGAGTCTCGGAGGGCACACGGCAAAGGGGAACGGCGTTTTGTCTAGGAAACTTAATTTGAGATAAATGATGGTTTTAATCCTCGCGGAAACATGGCGAGGTGCTGGCGGAGCATCTGGAGTGAGAGCGAGCGGGGAGAGGAGAGGAGGGGGGGACAGCTGGGAAGTGCGAGGTGAGAAGGAATCCTGCAGACAGATGTGGAGGAGACACTTTAAAACCATATGAAGCCGTGTGAGATAAGGGAGAGCTGGAGACATGGCAGCTAGCACGGGCGACAGATGGGGCTGCCGTAAAAGTTGATCGGAGATTTGTAGTGTAATAAAGAGACATGTTGCGGTTTAACTACCAATAAAATGACATAAATAAAAAATATTAATTAATAAGAATCACGTTAATAGCTCTTGGCAGGTTTAGAGATTTCTTTCCTGTCTTATAAGTTACTATAAAAAAACGCAACATTTGTGAATATAAGGATGCATATTTGTTTATTGAAATGGTCTGCCCCTCTTATTCTGAAGTGAATATTCAGTTTTTTCACCCAATCACTGAACCCATTTTATGCTTAACTTCAAATTGATAGAGTAAATTTTGTCCTATGTTATGATCTTTAATTAAATGTGCTGTAGTCACTTCACTTTACCTAGGGATGTTCAAAAAATATCAAAATATCGATATATCCTATTGTTTAATGTCCAATCCAACCCACTTTATTTACATAGCACATTTTATAAACATGCAGTTTCCAAAGTGCTGCACAGACAAATTAATACAATAAAAGAGGAAATCATATTTTAAAACAAGAAATAAAAAGTATTAAAATGCATAAAGCTAAAAATGATAAAACAATGAATAAAATAAACATAAATAAATAAAATAAAGACACAGATGACCACACAACTCACGCAGTGTTAAAAGCCAGACGAGACTTAAAACACGCCAATGTAACGGCTGTTCGGACGTGGGGGGGCAGAGCGTTCCAGAATTTGGGTTTGGCCACAGAGAAGGTCCTGTCCCCCCTGCCTCGTCTCAGGCACCACGAGCTGGAGCTGGCCCTCAGACCTCAGAGAGCACGCAGGAGTAAATCTGGATGAGATCCGAGACGCACTGTGTCCAGTCAAAGCTTTAAAAACAAACAATAAAATCTTAAAATCAGTTCTAAATTGAACAGGAAGCCAGTGCAAAGACACAAGGATTGCATGGTTGCGTGAGAATGTGATGATACAGTGTCGTTATCGTGGCCTGCTGAATCGATGTATCACTAAGAGTATTTTTTGGTATATTTTACTAAATTATTTTGTAACAGCGGTAAAGTTTTAAGGCTTGTTTAGAAGAACGAAACTAGTTTATGCAGCACATTTGATATTTTCACTGGTTTGATGATTTAAATGTTTGTGTTTCATATGAACTTTGCACAAGAAGTGGTTTAACAAAGACTTTTAGTATCACAGCCATGATTTAACCTTTATTTGTTATCAAACCGTATCAAATCAATTTGAAATATACATGTATCATATCATGGCCTATGTATCGAGGTATGTATCGTACCAGCAACTTCTTAATGATACCCAGCTCTAATTTTAACTGTCTTAAAAACATGAAAAAAAAGAAAAACTATAGTTTTCAGTGGTCTATTTGCAGACATTAATTCATTATTCACCACGATAACTTTATAAGCACTTTTATTAACTTTCAGAGGCTAAAGTGCAATGAAATTAATCACGGGATATGTAGTTTCTGATGTTAAAAACCTGTTGCTACTCTAAAACAATGCATTTAAGCAAAGAAACTTGTAATTTGATATATTGTGACAGCCCACGATATTATTATGAGACTTATGGCACATCTAGGTTTGCAAAGGATGAAACTATAAAACACTATAATACAACAGACAGCACTGCTTTTACAATATATCTTTCAGAGAAGCGCAGCTAAACTTGAATTTTCCTTGGGATGAATAAAGTATCATATTTGTGCATGGGGCAATGCAAATTTTACTTAATTGCATGAAAACAATTAGCCTGATTCATCAGCCGGTTTAACTTTGTGGAAACGGTCTGACCTCGCAGCATTAGGATTCATTCGCTCGATGGTAGGCAGGTACTTTTTTATTTAACCAATCTCTGCTATTTGGTCGTGACGTATGTAATGAGCCAATGAGAAGGACAATAACGTCTTTCCACTTGATAAAATTCACCAAACATTCTCTTTGTTCCAGCTTTAAATCCTCGATCTTGGGAATCGTTGCAAACACAGAATGTCTGTCTTCGTCTACGTCCATCTCGACTGCTTTCTTTACTGTTGGGCTGTACCACAAAAGGAACCCAGACAGACGCTTGAGTTTGATGTCATGGCCTCAAACCAAACCATCTAGTGTATTCCGATTCCTGACCTAGTCGCTGGAGAGAAATTAAATTGCTGGCACGAGCCTGGCAAGAAAACAAACCCTTAGTTTTATAGACAGGCCGAACTACAGTAAAGCCTCGCCCATACAAAACACACACAAGTGGTTAGCTGTCATCATTTCTGCTTTGTGACTCTCTTACCATTGACCCGACTGCCTCCCTCTCAAGACCCAAAGCTGCAGAGTCACGCTCCCTACACCTATGACCCATTTGGAATCTGCTGAAAACGAACTAAACGCATTTGCTTCTTCACAACATAAAGAAACTGCTGCTCCGACCAATCCCCTATTCTCTCTTTAACAGTATTAGAAGGAGCAGTATAGAGCGCTCCTTGATAAGCGTACAAAGGCAGGTGGACAGGCTGACAGATAGTA